GGCCCCCTCACCTTGCCGTTGCCTCTCTTGTTCACTCTGAAGAACCCGAGGAACTTCTTCTTCTCCGTCTCCGTCTCATCGCTGCCGAAGGAGGACTTCCTGAAGGTTTCTGGGGGGAAAGGAGGTCCTGTTACTTCTCAGCATCAACACATCGCGGGAAAAATCTCAGCAAACACACCCTCCTCTTAAACTTGGTTTCGTTCTTCTAAGAGTAGAACCGCCCATGACCCCTGAGCCTGCACCCCAAACCTGCACCCACCAGCCTGCACCCACCAGCCTGCACCCACCAGCCTGCACCCACCAGCCTGCACCCACCAGCCTGCACCCGGTATGAAACACTGGGCCTCGCGCTCGCTCGGTGGGGACGGGGCGTTCCCTCTGGCCGCGCTCACATCCCCATCCTCCTCGGCTCAACGGCACGCTTTCCTCTCTAGTGACGTTCTCCAGGGGCCCATGGCTTCTCTCTCTCTCTCTCTCTCTCTCTCTGAGCTTGAAATCCTCAATCTTTTTCCTTCTTCATCAGGATTTAAAAAAAATAACTATTTTAGCCCAACAGGCATGGCTCAGTGTCAACCTATGAACCAGGAGGTCCTGGGTTTTATTCCCAGTCAGGGCACAGGCCTGGGTTGCAGGCTCGATCCCCGGGGGTGGGGGGGGGAGCGCGGTGTAGGAGGCAGCCAGTCAGTGATTCTCTCTCATCATTGATGTTTCTCTCTCTCTTTCTCTCTCTCCCCCCTCTCCCTTCCTCTCTGAAATCAGTAAAAATATATATTACAAAGTAAAATAATAAAATAACTATATTATTATTTGGGGGGGTGTTATTAATTTCATTTATTTTTCCATTACAGCTGATATTCAAGCTTAGTCTTCATTCGTTCCAGGTGTGAGGCACAGACGTTAGACAACCAGGTCTGCACAGCGTGGTCCCCAATATCCCCCGCCCCCGCCCCCGGCCGCCTGCGCAGCTAGCACAGTCTCGTTGACTCGGTCCAGGGCTGGCAGTCACTGGGACCCAGGGTAGGCTGGAACGGGCGCTCTCCTGGGCCATGGACACTGCAGCCCTGACGTGTCAGTCGGTGACAGCCTCGCCCAGGGCTGTGGTTCTCACAATGAGGGGGGACCGGCACGTCGGCACCCCTGGGACTTGGACCCAGTCCTGACCCCTGAATCGGGAGCTCTGAGGGTGGGCCCACCGCCCTTCACTCAACACGCCCCAGCCTTGGGGATGCTCGAGGTGTGAGGGAGCATTTGAGGGCCAGTGGGGTGGAGGTTACCAGCACCGAGGGGTGGGTGCTCTCTGAGCCTCAGTCTGCTCATCTGCAGAATGGGGTGAACGGGGTGCTGCCCGCCCACCGGTGCCGCAAGGCTGCTGGCACCATCGCTCGCTGGCTTTCCCCCCACCCCCCCAGGCCACTCAGGCCTCGGCCATCAGCGCGGGACGTCTTTCTCTCCGAGGCCCGTGGATATGGCAGGAGGAAAACCCTGGTGTCCCTGAAGGACACGACTTCCCCACGGCACTGCCCACGCCCCACGCCCCACGCCCCACGCCCGACGCCAGGCCCTGGTGGGACCTCTGGCAGATCAGCCTGCCTTCCGACAGCAGCAGCCTCTCCTGCTCACGGACTGGGATGCTCCCGTCAGAGACCAGACCCGGGGCGGAGCGGCAGCAACAGGCACCGTCCCCGCAACAGCACAAACCCAGGCCTGGCCGGTGGCTCAGTGGTCGGAGCCTTGTCCCGAAACACCCAGGTCGTGGGTTCCATCCCCGGTCAGGGCACATGCATGAATCAACCAATGAATGCATCAATAAGTGAGCAATAAAACTGATGTTTCTCAAAATCGATTAAAAAAAAAACAAAGAAACACAAGCGCACACATTTGTAAAGTCATTCTGCACGTGGCGGAGGCTCAGGGTTCAGTCACAAGCGCCAGGGCTCCCGGCAGGTGCCGGCGGCTTGTCACGCATGCCCACTCAGCAGCCACGTGTGCACGTGGAGTTCACGGCTGAACACATGAAAGCCCTCCTCAGGCACGGGGCTATCCGGGTACAGCACCCTGTTCTGCCGAGGACACTGGCAGCCGCGGGAAGCGTCCGTGTGTGTGCCTGCCTGCGTGTGGACAGGCCTCGTGTGACGGGAGAAGGTAGGTGCGGATGTGGCAGTGCCCAGCAGGTGAGCGTGGAGAGCATGCTCCTGGCACCCCGGCTAGAAGGCCACCCACCAACCCAGAGGCCTCAGGACACTGCGGGGGACCGCGCCTCGGCCCTCTGCCTGGACAGGGACGGGGCGGCCGGCACCCACAGGGCTGACTGCGGTCAGACATGACACCCCCACTGGTGCCAGACCCATGCCCAGTGTTCTCACTTTCACTTGGTTTTCTAGAAATAAGATCTAGTGTCAAACACTCTAACAAACATGAACAGAAACTCTCGTAAACTATAAAAACTCATCGGATGTTAATGAGCTGTGTGCGTGAGCATGCAATCCAAAGGTTCATTAACATCCTAATACGTGCGCATGTGTATGTGTCTGTTATGTGTGCATATGTAAATATACACGTATGTGTGCACATATAAACAATCGACAAGATAGTGTCTGAATAAGTGCAAAATCTGAACTCCTCGTTTTTATATTATGGCGGCAAAGGTTAAACATCACAAACCACGATGCCCTAAATTCTGCAGCAGGCAGGAGGGAGCTCAAGGACGGTGAGCACATGTGAGTACAGGTGAGCACATGTGAGTACAGGTAAGCACAGGTAAGTATGGACAGCCCAGCACACGCACAGGCGAGCACAGGCAAGAAGGAAACGGCGCCTCGCGCGGGGACTGCTGTCCGCCCTGGAGCCCCCTGGAGCCCATTTCCTCACAGCAGCCCTTGGCTTCTCAGTCAGAACCACAGCAAATCCTGCCACAGGACATTCCTTCTCAGCCAACCAGGAGCCGAGAACCAGCGCAGCCTCCCTGGGCCAGCAAGCCCCCCACTCCCCCCGCTTCCGGGAGCCACACGGCCCGAGGCCCTCACTCCGTGCCCCCGCCATGCAGGTGCAGCCCCGCGGGGCTCACTGACCTCGGCAGCGCAGGGAGGGCTCCGACTGCGTTTTGGTCAGAAGAACTGGAAAGGCAGCGAGGAGAGAGTGAGGGCGAGCGGGCCAAGGCCGCCGGGCGCTCGTCAGCCTCGGGGGCTGTCTGTCCATCATTCTCGGGGGGCTGTCTGTCCGTCATTCTCGGGGGGCTGTCTGTTTGTCGGTCAGTATAGGCCGAGTGCAGAGCGGGCTGAACCCTCGCCTTGAGCCCCCGGAGCACAGAGCAGGTGGCCAGGCCAGCACCCGGGAGGATGGCGCTCCCAGGAGGCAGCCCAGCCTTGGCCGTCCCAGCTCAGCTGGGGCTGGGAGGGAGGGAGCCAGAGAGGGGCCAGGAGAGGCGTGTGGACGGCCTCCGGAATGTTCTGCATGAGGCCTTCTCTTCTCCGCGCTCCAGTGCAGGGCAGCGTTTCCTGTCCCCAGCCTCACGGGACCCAGGTTAGAGTGGGCGCGACCCCCACACAGACGCTGCGCTCTGCCCGGGCCCGGGGCAGGTGCCGAGGGGAGTCCGTGGGAGTTTAAGGTGCTGGCCCGGACCCAGGACCTGTGGCTCTCGGACGTCGGCGCACGTTACGGAGGAAAAACAGTCTCTGTATCTTGTACTCAGAGGGCTGAACCCCTTCCCGGGCGCCCAGTGAGATCCGGGTTCCAGAGCCTCTGGGGGGTGGGGTGGGGGGCTGGTGCCACTAGGAGCACCGATGTCACCAACATAATTACTGTGTTTTTTATTGCAAGAACTTTTTAAAAAAGTTGTAGATAAACAGGAAAACCTTGCATACGTCCGTATTTTGGAAGCCCAGCATGCTCAATATTTGTGGAATAAAAAGGCAGCAAACACCAAGGGAGGACCTAAGAAGTCCATTTTAAGAATTCTAAGGTCAAAGAATATTAGATTGGGGCGGGGGGTGTTCTGTTTGAACAGTCAGCCTTCCTGTCCTTCAGGGACAACGGCTCACACCACGGGCCAGTCTTTGTCCCCACCACCGGCCCCTCCACCTCCACGCTCCCGTGGCTCACACGGGGACCTCAGGCCACGCGGCCAGCACCCACGAGGACTGAGCTGTGCCCGCATCGGCGACGGCCAAGCGCCGGGAGTGGTCGCGGGGGCTGGGGTGACTGGGCAGTGCCGGGGGCAGCGCCATGCGTGTGTCCCTGGCTTTGTGAGCGATGTCTCAGACTGGGAGCCGCTGCAGGCCACAGAGAAGCCCGTCCGCGCAAAAACGGGTTATGTGTGGGTTCCGGGTGGTTCCCTTAGAGGGGAGGCTCTGATGTCCTCGCCGTCCCCACCTCTCATCTACCGGAAGCTCACAGAGGAGGGGTTACCGGGGTGAGGGGTGTTCGGGGCGAGAGGCAGCATGACCGTCAGGGAGCGAGAGCCAGTTGGTGTTTCCTGCCCCGCCCCCCGGGTTGGACCGCATCCCAGTTGCCTGAAAACACGTGCACCGGCCAGCTGGTGCTGCGGGGAGTCGAGCTGAGCGCCGGAGTGGGGGCCTTGCTCCAGCCTGTTCCCGCGTGTCCCCATGTGCTCTGTGTCCCCACGTGCTCCTGTGTTTCCCCGTGTGTCCACAGGCTCCCACATGTTACCATGTGCTCCCGCGTTTTCCCGTGTGCTCCCACGTGTCCCGGGGGCCTCACCTCTCTGGTTGTCCCAGGCGTAGAGCTCCTTGATGCCCAGCTCGCTGAGCGACTTGGACAGCTCCAGCTCCTCGCCCGCCACGTTGTCCCTGAGCAGCACCACGTGCTCGGGGCTCACGTCGCACTTGGCGCAGATGACGGGCAGGAGGCTGTGCAGGGGCACCTCGGGGCTCACGCGCACCACGGCCTTCTGCGTCCGCAGGTAGTTCACCACCAGGCGCACGGACTTCTGGGAGGACACACGGGGCAGGGAGCTCGGTGAGCACGTCAGCCCATGGCAGCACCGGCCACCGTGTCCACGCCGGATGCGGGTGCGGGAGATGGTGGGCGGCAGTTTCTCCCGCAAGTCAGGGCTCCCGGGGAGACGGCCCGCAGGACGGGAACAGCAATGCCCGGAGAGGCCTCCCCAACCACAGACGCCCCCGCCTGCTGAGCACACGGCTAACGACAGGGGAGTGGGCATCGGGCAGGGCTCTCCATGGACAGCCCAGCACACGCAGGGCCGCTCCCAGGTGCAGACCAGACTGAACATGAGGCTTTAGTACACCTTCCACGGGAAACAGTGGGAAGGGCTGTCAAAAAGTCACTGGAACGGAAAACCCTCACCACACAAGGTATCAAACTTCTGTTTAAGAATCAAAATACCGCCCGGCCGGTGGCTCAGTGGTTGAGCGTCAGCCTAGGAACCAGGAGGTCAGGTTCGATTCCCGGTCAGGGCACATGCAGGGGTGGCAGGCTCGATCCCCAGTGGGAGGCCTGCAGGAGGCAGCCGATCCATGATTCTCTCTCATCATTGATGTTTCTCTCTCTCCCTCTCCCTTCCTCTCTGAAATCAATAAAAATATATTTTAAAAAATTCTCTCTGGCCTTTCCTGGTCACCTCATGGCGCCCAGGCCCTGGTGAGTGGACACAGCAGACGTGGACTTTGTGGAGGCACCGAGGCCGGCCTCAGACTGGGCCGGGGTTCCATGAATTTTCGGAAAAAAGCTGGCCGCAGGGCCTCTCCACGTGTCTGGCCTGGGGTCAGGCACAGCCCTGGGCTCAGCTACCCTTGGGGTTTACACCTGGTGGCCGGGAAGGTCTGAGACGCCCGGGGGTGACAGGGCTCTCTCCTGGAACATGGACTGTACGTAGGAATTAGGGAAACCGCACCCCGAGGGTCGATGGCATCGTTAACTTTTATCAACCACCCAGACCCAGAAATTCTCAGGAGACGGATGGCTAAACTGCCATTTTTAAAAGCAGGGAATTTTGTACGTATTCCAGGAACCTAAACGGATGAAACAGCGCTACTTCTGAAGGGGGCTCGAGAACCACAGCAGAGCCTCATTCAGGAGGATACTAAACCACTGTGTTCATTTCAGTCGATAACCCAAAGTCCGGAAGGACGTCCGGAAGATGTCCCGTCTAATGAGCATGTTATGCTTTTATTATTATAGATGTTCTCCAATTGCACTGAGTAAATATTTATAACACTGACCTCGGGCATCTTGGGGGGGCCAGGCTTGGCCTTCTCGTCGGGAACCTTCTCTTTCAGGAACACGGTGTGCACGTTCAGGGCCCCGACCAGCGTGTTTGGCTTGAAGCTCAGAGGCTGCTGGGCTTCCGGGGGCCAGACCTCCAGGGCGTGGTGGGACGGGTTCAGGTGGTTCTGCAGGCAGAGCTCCACCAGGAGGTCCATCATCGCGTGGCTGGAGGGGAGACGGAGCCGTCATTAGGTCTGCGTCTCCTCCAGCCCGGGACAGAACGAGCGAACCAGCAGGAGAGCGAGCAAACTCACGAGGACAGACAGCAGCCGAGCGTTAATTCTCAGGCGTGCCTGTACAGCGAGAGCCTTTAAAATATTTTAACTGACTTTTGAGAGAGAGAGAGGGAGAGGGAGAGAGAAACATCAATGTGAGAGCCAAGCACTGACAGGCTGCCTCCTACACACCCCTCCTGGGGATGGAGCCCACAGCCCAGGCACGTGCCCTGGCCGGGAATCGAACCAGCGACCTCGCGGTGCATGGGACGACACCCAGCCCACTGAGCCACACAGGCCAGGCTGCACCGCAATATCTTCACATCCCCAATACTGACCAACGACCTGACCCAAAGGCAACGGGGGACCCACACCGTGTGCCTGTGAAGACAGTCACCCCCAGTTAGCTCCGCGGGTGTGTGGGCCTGACTCCCATGAGGGCGGCAAACACGGCGCTGACAGGAGGCCCGTGCCTCAGCCCACCAGTGGGGCTGCTACTTTTTTTAAAATATATTTTTATTGATTTCAGAAAAGAAGGGAGGGAGAGAGAAACATCCATGGGCCGGGCTACTATGGTTCATTTAAACGAGAATATTCATGTTGGGAGGACAGGGTTAAGGGTCTGATGGCAGATTATAAACTCCTCGCTTATCCGACGAGAAGGTCTCTCAGGGGTTGAGCATCATCCTATGAACCAGGAGGTCACGGTTCAATTCCCGGTCAGGGCACAGGCCCGGGTTGCAGGCTTGATCCCCAGTGCAGGGCGTGCAGGAGGCAGCTGATCCATGATTCTCTCTCATCATGGCTGTTCCTGTCTCCCTCTCTCCCGCTCCCTTCTTCTCTGAAATCAATAAAAAAGTATATACATAAGAATCGTGAGTAAAACATAATATATTCACTGGTAAAACTTCACGCATCTATTGAAGTAGTTTAAACTATCCTATTATTTTTTTTAAATATGTTTTATTGATTTTCTACAGGGAGGAAGGGAGAGGGATAGAGAGTTAGAAACATCCATGAGAGACATCGATCAGCCACTTCCTGCACACTCCCCACTGGGGATGTGCCCGCAACCAAGGTACATGCCCTTGACCCGAATCGAACCTGGGACCCTTCAGTCCGCAGGCTGATGCTCTATCCACTGAGCCAAACCGGTTCTGGCAAAACTATCCTATTATTGATGCACTGGAGTTATAGTGATGCACGCGGGAAAAACGTTCTCACAAGGGCCACTCTGTAAAACGATGAAGCGCAGGCCCTCTTGCGAGTGGGCCATCATGCACGGACCCTGGGAGCCATCCCTGCCGCAGGGGCCACGGACACCCCCCGACACCCCCGCGAGGTCCAGGGCAGCCCCCACTCTGCACCTGAGCCCTTCCCGGGACAATGGCACCAGGGGGTGCCCTGAGGAGCAGGCCCCATACTTCCCTGGGACACTCTTTGGGAGCAGCTGGGCCTCACTCCCCACCCCCCAACGCAACAGCTCCATCCCGGGCAGCCCCTGGGCCTGCAGCGATGCTCCCCAAGGTTTTGTTCACTTGGCCCATAAAATAATTTTGAAAATGTATGTAGCCCTTTGCTCATGAAAGTGTCACCTATGATTTTCATTCTAAAGCTCAAACTGCAAATGTAAATATAAAAGTCATGATAAAGTCCAGTAGGATCTGAAAACTGACTTTTAAAAATAAACCTGCCCTGGCCGGTTTGGCTCAGTGGCTAGAGCATCGGCCTGAGGACTGACGGGTCCCAGGTCCGATTCCGGTCAAGGGCATGTACCTTGGTTGCAGGCACATCCCCAGTGGGGGGTGTGCAGGAGGCAGCTGATCGATGTTTCTCTCTCATCAATGTTTCTAACTCTCTATTCTTCTCCCTTCCTCTCTGCAAAAACTTAATAAAATATATTTAAAAAATAAAAATAAAAATAAACCTGGTACATCACCATTTCCAGGGTATTCATGGGAATAAAAACACTCGGGGTCACGTGACCGTGACTGTCGCCCACTTGTAAGTACCCGAAGAAAATGCTTCTTAAGGTTCAAATACTTAACGTCCGTCCTCGTTCTCCTTGTTTTCCTGGACTCTCCCGCCGCAGGAGGATGCAAATATATTTTCACGTTTGAAAGACTTCAGCACTGACCACTCTATCGCATTCGCTACAATAAAAACTGTCTAAACACTTAAATTCAAAGTTTTGTTTCCCTGTGACTTGGTTAAAACGGTTTATTATAAAGGGATTAGTTATGACAGAAGCAGTGACACAGAACCGATCAAACAATATAATTATGACATATTTCGATAAATATTAAGCCCAAAATTAGAAACTCTATCGGTGATAAAACTTCACGTTCTGATGGAAGGAGGCTGTGCCTTTTGAGGGGAAAGCGGTGCAGGTGACCTTGACCACGCGACCTGGGGGACCAGAGCTCAGGGTGGGGTGGGAGCCACAGGCCTGGGGATCGAGGCCCTTACATTTAACACCAGTGGGTCCCATTTTCTTTCTTTTTAATTATTATTTTTTTAATGTATGTTCATTGATTTCAGAGAAGAAGGGAGAGGGAGATAGAAACTTCAATGATGAGAATCACTGATCGGCTGCCTCGTGCACGCCCCCCACTGGGGATCGAGCCCGCAACCCCGGCCTGTGCCCTGACCGGGAATCGAACCCAGACCTCCTGGTTCATAGACTGATGCTGAACCACTGAGCCCACTGGCCGGGCTACTTCTTCCTCTAAACCGGGGTTCAGAGAATGGATTGCGGGGGGCATGTACCTCCATGGCCGGCCTGGGAGGACCTGGGAGGGTCAGTACAGGAGGCTGCCCCCGGCCGTGGAACTTCAGCGCCCAGGACACGGGGACAGACTAGTGGCTGGTCACCTGCTTGGAGGGGGCCCCGGCCTGCACCCCTGGTCTGAGCCCACCTCCCGCCAGGCTGGGCAGCGCGGTCCCCCCGCTCAGGATGGTGGGGACCCGGGACCCATCCTCCGTCCTCGCAGGCGGGCGAGGCCCTGCAGTTGGCTTCGGCTCGCGCCCGGCCCTCGCCGCCCGCTGACCACGCTCCTCCGCTCCAGCCCGCTGGGCAGCACCACCGTGAGGTCCAGCGCCCGCTCCCGCAGGTTCTCCTTCATGTGCAGCAGGTCCTGCTGGCGCCCGCGGGACGCGCTGCGCTGGGGGCTCGGTGCCCTCTGCCCGGTGGGGGTGGCGGCCTTCCCCGGGGGAGGCGGGGCACGAGCCTTCATCTTCCTCCTGAGGGACGACAGGGGACCAATGAAGCGCTGCGTCCAGCTGGGGCAGCAGGGACATGGCGGCCAGCAGCGCTGTCCTCCTCACGCCCAGCAGCCACCTCCCGAACATCAGCCAGCCAGCAGGCACATTCACAAGATCTATTGTTACTGATTTCAGGGGGCGGGGAGGGAAAGGGAGAGAGAGGGGGAGAGGGGGGGAGAGAGAGACATCAATCATGACCAAATAATTAATTGGCTGCCTCCTGCACGCCCCCCACTGGGGATGGAGCCCACAACCCGGGCCTGTGCCCTGACCAGGCATCGAACCGTCATCTCCTGACTCATAAGTCGACACTCAGCCACTAAGCGACCCCGGCCGGGCTGTGCGCAGTTTTACAAAATCCTCATGACAACAGCGGCCGGGTACAAAACTGAGCGAACAACAGGATGGCCATCTAGTTGATAAACACCAAACACACACTTCCAGGTTCTACTGGTAACACAACCCGAACCCAGGGACTGAAGGGGGCGTCGCCAGCTGCCAGCGATGCCCTTCCTGGGAAAAGAAGTGGCTCCAACCTTGACCCGACAACGCTCTCAGAACATGGACAATTACGAAGAGCAGAGGGCCCGGCCGGCGGGGCTCAGTGGGTGAGCGTCCACCTAGGAACCCGGAGGTCATGGTATGATTCCCCGTCAGGGCACAGGCCCGGGTTGTGGGCTCGAACCCCAGTGTGGGGTATGCAGGAGGCTGCCCATCCATGATTCTCTCTCATCACTGATGTTTCTCTCTCCCTCCCTCTCTGAAATCAATAAAAATATATTTAAAGGAGTGGGAAGGGGACTGAGAAGAATAGACAACGCTATGTCACAGACTACGGAATTCAACAGAATCCTTTGGGGTCTGGCTCTGTCCTACCCTGGGATCAAGTGTCTGGAGGACACTCAGAGGAAGCAGTGCTATTAGCCAACTCCGGTAAGTGTGTGGGGGAAGGGCTTACTCAGGCAGGAGGGTGATGCCAGTGGCTTAGTAGCCGCACTGAAGAATTTCCAAGATTATGCCCGAGCCGGTTTGGCTCAGTGGATAGAG